TTGCCATCTCTGGATAAAGTCCACTAGTAAGGAAGGACAGTGAGCACTAGTTGAAGGATGGTAGCAACTTATGACGCAGACGTGAACATCCCTGAACGACAAGAGGTTGGAGGGTGACAGACTTAGGAGCATACAGAATTGGATCATAAGTTTGCTAAAGCAACTAATTGCTCTGATGACTGAGAATAAGGACCGCATGTCCCTGAATAGCAACACCAACCTACAGTCATGATATTAGCCAAGACATCACAATAGGTAATCTTTTTGCACAGCTGTAGATCTTTGGCACTCAAGGGGACATAAAGAAACATCTAGACAACTTCCTTTAATGTTTCAGTCAGTTAACTGTCCGGTCTGGATTGACTAAGGGAAGGGTAGTGCAACGCTAGATGCTGAGTCTAGATGCTCCAGTGCTTGACTCACTCAGACATTATGGTGAGGATCAACTGTGATTGCAAACCAGTCATAGCTAAGTTGTGCCAACATTCTGACTCAGTAAAGAATAATATTATCTATCGAAATTGAGAAACCAATAAAAACTTGTATTCTTTTGTAAATTATATGTGTATTGCCTACATGGGAAAGCGTATTACAACATTGCAGCTGCATATTGTGAAGATATCCTAGTTGACATGTTAATTAAAGGTCTCCTAAGTGCAACAATGCGACACCATGCGAATGTTAGAGATGTCTACACACTAACAGAGACAGTTTCTCTGGTGAGTAGTTTTGAAGTGGATACATACTTGCAGGGGAGGAAGAAATCCACACCAGTTACTGCAATGTTTCTGCCTCATTAAAATGACCATTGGAGGTGTCTGAACCATGGAAAGCTTGGGTCCAATCCAGATCTCCCATACTGTAAGTACTTCCAAGTGTCTCAATGCAGTGAATATTCAGGGCTCTTCATGATTGTTATACTGCACCAGCACCGAATAGCTAGCCCGAGATGGCAATATGGACATGATGGATGGAGGGTATGCTTTGCTTGTGTGGTGAGTATTTCAAGAAACAATTATCCATATACTGTTACAGATATGGTAGAAGGAATATACAATTCTATCCAACTCCACAGCAGATGCAGGATAGATGTTGGGAAGTTATGGCTAAAGATATTTTGCTCTATTATATTTATTGGGCCAAGTTCAGGTTTGACCACTGACCTTGGAAAAATAATGGTAGATTTATGACTAATGATATGGTGGTTAGGGTTGGGTGGTGATTAGTATGTAAAGATTCGTTCATTCACAATATATGAAGATATATGTATATTCAGGTACTCATATTATACAGATGGACCTACTGAAGAAATTGTTAGCCAGGTTTGGTTGTACAACAGACGACCTGCACTTCTGTACGAAAACCATACAGTTTATATCTTATTGAGCCCCAGAGTAGTCACTGTGTGAATCAATGGTTAGGAGGAAGCCACAGTGTCCCCAAAGTACAACTAACTGGAATAGCTTTATAGCCATGGTTGCTTCATTCATACAACATCCAAAAATGCATATGTGGCTGTCATCTGAGACTCTGCTGAAGACTGTGCAAACAGCATGAAATCAATAAAGCAACATGAACTCAGGAATTCTAATTTAACATATAAATGTTATGTGAAATTAAATAACAATTTGGATCAGACATCTCGCCATCACATAGACTTTTTGTTGGATTTCGTGCAAAGCTACTTGAGGGTTTTTGTCCCTGATTTTGAAGTTTATGGACTAGAGATGAGATGGCTAGTCAACACTACACCCAGCTAACTCATGGGCTACTTTTTACCAACAAAACAGAAAGATTGACAGTCACATTAAACTTCTCTACAGCCGAAAGGGCGAGTATGTTTTGTGATGGTATTCAAATCTGCAACCTGCTGATTGCAGGTCGAGTGCCCGAAACACCAGACCCACTTAACAGACACGGGTGATGTCTATTGTATCAAACAATTGGCTTTCCTGGAACTAGGAATGTAGCCAGCACTATGATACAATGGGTATTGAAGGATGAAATTACACAAAGTGTTTGGCTATCTGTGGTAGTGATTGCTATGAAAAAAGAAAGTACAAAACTTTTCTGCTAATTTTATACATATGAAAATGGTGATTCATAATAATGCTTTTCTAATGCTCACAGACAAACATCTGGATGTGTTTGAAGGCCCCTGTTGGTACAGCACATTATATCTGGCTTCTGAATGCAGAAAGTCAAGCTGGATGATGAGAACACACTTAAAGCTACTTTCGGCACTCCAGATGGTTTCTAAAAATTCTGTCACGTCAGACCATGTAATATGCCTGCCACTTTCGAGCAGCTGGCGGAGTTTATACTGAAATGGTTGCAATGGGAGAGATATGTGATCTCATGCACTAATTGGATCATGAATCCTAGGTGGGAGAAGCTAATGAATCAGGAGATAGCGAAAGCCCTGTACTGAATTTTCTTGACTCGTCTAACTAGAAGGATGATGCTGGTTAGACTTCTATGTCTGAAGGGAATCTGACAAAAAAGTGAGAGTAGAGAAGTGGCTAAGATACCAATGCCAACCTCCTGATCATTGTGGCTGAGATTAACTGTCTGACCATCAGTTAACCAATAGAATAACAAAAGAGGAAGTGGCATCCCTTGTTTTCGGAGCTATTAAACAGTTTCAAAGCGAAATGACTGCAGGGTGTTGTGTAATAGCCACTTAATTATGGTAGAAATATGACAGCTAGTGCTATTATATATAATGTCTAGAGCATTGCCAGTTGGAATGATTGGAAATTATTCTTAGGAATTATAATTCATCTGTGAGCTGAAATAGTTTTTGATCTTTGCTTTCCAAGCACGGAAGTGAAATTTTGTAGTGAACTTTGGTAGGATGTCTATACAAGAAACCACCTAAGAACATATATGTGTATCAAAGTGCAATTTTAAGAAGCATTTACACAGAAGTCCATATGAAAACTATGTCCAGATATACAGTGAATAGTTCGTGCTCTTAATATGTACAGATGTACTAGGTTGTGATAAATCACGGTGAAAATGACTGGTTTCACTGGATTCTGCTTGTATTTGTTTTACTTTGGTGCTATATATTATTGTTATGACCACGAATACAATACAGAAAAGGCACAATAACTGGGCAATTGCAGTAAAAATAATTTGGTCAGAATAATAAGAAGTTAAGATATAAAGGAGAACTGTGATTACTAATTTGTGCCACATCAAGGGAAGATAGGGTTCCCCGATATTTACATTTGTATGGTGAAAGTATATTGTTTCGTCATCGAGGTCACGTGACTGGTGTGGCGCCACCTATTTTCTAGAACTATCCTGTACCTTGGCGAATGCTCTAGTATTTACTAGATATAGGGTAGTCTGGTATATAAAAGAGGGTGACAACGTGACGGAAGAATAATGTGTGTGTAGACAGTGAATAATTGATCTGCAGTCAGAAGTATTATTGAGCACGTTCGTTATTATAGCGTTTGTTGAAGTTGAGTGTATCGGTAAAGTTATATTCGGAAAGAATAAACCAGTTTTATTAAGAAAGGACTTGCGTCGCTTAAGTTTCGTCGGAACGAAGTTACGGAAAGTTAATTAACAAACGGAGACGTAACAATATGTTAAGTTTTTAGAATTCAAATGTTTGTGGTACTCAATATTTTCATTAATGTTAATGAAGAAAATATTCAAGTTGGTAGAAACGAACCATTCATAAACGGAAATTACCCACAGAAATTAAAACTGCTGATAGTAGCTTACGTGTTACACCCTATGTGTTCAGTAGTTTGACATAATAAGTTCAACTTTTAGAATAGAAACACTTCATAAGCATGCTGTTTTAGAGAATAATTTCTTTACATTTATCTCTCTGTACAACTGCAGTTAAGACATCACCTAGTGTAGACCGTGATTATATAGTTTCAGGTGCATGAATAACACTTGCAAAGCATTGCTTTTAAATTTCTTCAGTTATGTTATCCCTGTATCAGGAACTAAATTTATGGAAGCATACATCTTGTTTGACATAAGGACTATTTAGAAGTGCCCAGACTTTGGGAGGAACCTTAGGTTTCATGGTCACTGAAAAAGAGCAAAGGAATAGGATATGCAGCCGTCAGAAACCTTCGTAGTATATAGGTTGTGGAGGACGTTTCCTTGGAGTCTTGGTACTGTAATACCCTATACTCAACATTGGTGGATTACCCAGTGCTGGAATCATCATCATCTGTCGTTACCACTATCCCGGAGCTGACCATGCTTTCAAGAAATTCAAGAGTAGTTGCAATAAAGATGTATGGTCAATTTCCCCATCAGAAGCTCTCAAGAAACTCAGAACTATTGGAACAACATTTATAGTCAACAGCCTTAATAGCTTTGCCATAACTACAAATATAATTTATAGTCACCTCCAATGGGACCATAAGACTCCAAAACCATCTTCCTGAGGCTTAAACACTCAGAATCGTTGGAGGAACCCAAGAAAACTGCCAAAGAGTAGACCGCCACTGCTATAATTAATACCAATTCTTTGTAAATATAAAACTAAAATTAATTTGCATATATAAAACATGTTTTACACGCAAGCCACAAAAATATTTCTGTAGAGTTAAAATAGTTTGAATGTATTATATGCAACTATAATCATGCTGTAAAAAACTAAGATTGTGCAGCTATATTAGCCATAAGAAATTCGTCTTCTGTGAAAACGGAAATTGTTTTACATATACGAGTTATACAAGCGTCTTCTGTAAACTACAATTGTTTTACGTGTTGGTTAAAAATATCTTTGTTTTTCTTAAAAACTAAATTAGTCTGATATACATATTGCTATCACCTTGTATATAAATATATATGTTGGTATTATGATATCCTATGCAACATCGACGTTAAATTGTATTTTTGCAATGCATTTTGTTTCACTAATGCTAAAAACCAGTTTTAACCTTGTATATATATATATATATATCTTTCAATACACTTACGGTAAAATAAACATATCAGGTGTTTATTTTCTTTTTAGATTAGAAAGGTGAGCGTTTCTTGTTCACCAATATTTCATGTGTTTTTGCACACATGAACAATTTAGTACATATAGCATGCAGATAATGGCTTTAGAAAAAGTCAACTTTAATGTTGTGCTAGTCACAAATATCAGAGGTCATTTCTCCTTTAGTGTTTCTGAACTACATCAAGAAAGGTGGATTGCTAGAGAATGACTTGCAGCATTTGTTGTCTAGAGGTTTAGGAATATAACGTGGGTAAGAAAAGTAGTTATTTAAGAAGTATATAGTGGTTAATTCTATCAGTTTTATTCTGAATTTTACCTGTCTACAACCACAGAAGTGCTGTCTTTCATTTTGTTCACACGTTTTACAGAGTTATTTTTGTCTGTTGAATAAATGCAGTGTTTTTCTTTATGCGACCAAATTATATCCAATTTCTTTCTTCTATTCAGCCGGTTAGGAAACTCAAATTTAAATCTATAATACAAGTCGTATTTTAGATAGAACAAGCATACCAAATGATACTACAGAATCATTTTAAAGGGTATTTTGATCTGTATGTTGTATTGCATATTTGCTTGATCTTTAATTGTTATAGACTATTTTTGTATCTTATGAAGTATTGACACTGGCTACTTTTATGTCCTGTGTGCACATCATGGTACAATGTATATTTTTCTGGCGCAAGGGAAAGTTGTCAATGCTGAATTTTAAAGCTTAGAATTAAGGATCGCCTAAATGTAAGGGAAACTACAAGTGTGATATGCGAAACAAGACAGGCGTTTTCCTTTTTATTTAGGAAGGTGGTGAACTTAATTCATTAAAATTAAAAAAAAATTCTTTGCACATACAGGAGTTTGACAATCATAGTACTTTTAGCATATAGCCAACTTCATAATGTTGTAACCTTATTATTGAGCTAATCACATGTTGTCAACGGTCATTCCGCTATGTTATCTCTGAACTCTCCCATAGAAGATGGTGCTGTAGAATTCCACACAGTTGTGTTAATGTGTTTACTAGTAGCATAAGCCATGTAGAGGTTTAGAAATACTTGACAACCTGGTATTCCTTATTTTTGCAAATGTGATGATCAAATGACATGGGTGACAAATGCAATATAGGAGACTTGACCCTGTCTGTTATGTATATAGTTGTTGATTCTCCCAGATGGATTTTAACAAGATTTTTGTTTCAACAACATCTCTCCATACTTAGAGAAGTATGTTCATCTTGCATCTCATGCACCTGTCTGAATGAGATGTCTATCTGGTTGAATGAATAGTAATTTTATTCTAATGTCAAAATTTTGTCCAATTTCTTTCCTCAACTCATTCAAGACTGAATTAAAATTAACCTTGTAAGACATGCTGAACCTTTAGCAAATCAAAGTATCCGAGAATACCACATTGGTATATGAATGTTATATAAATACATCAGTAATTGGCTCTTTAAACATATTCAATGGCAGATAAGCCAATCAGATCAAATCAACTTATACAAACCTCTGCATCAGTCCTTCACTTGTGTATGACCCACAATCTACAGGATAGGAAGCACAGAAACTTGATCAAGAAAGTATGAGATATATGGCATTAAACCTTAACCTAATATGAAAATTATAACTTCACAAGGATGTTAAATAAACACAGAAACTTACATGATCAATTACAAAAATGATATCTACATACACCCAAATAACGGTATATTTTGTAAACACAGAAAGGTAAAGTCTGGCATGAAAATAATATTTTGCTCAAAATTCTTTTTTGTAAAGCAATTTAAGCAAATTACAAGACTACTTTGCATTAATTGAAATCATGAAATATATATATATATATATATATACACACAATACGTGAACTTAATTAGTTACCCCCTTCTCTTTAGTCCATCAGTGGACAGCACTTGATAACAATTGATTATGGGAGTCACTTCAAGATCCAGTTTCTAACAATAAGCTTCACAAATGAAGAGAATGATGTTATCAAAAGTATAGGTTATTTGGATTTCTTATTGCTAATTTGCCAATAAGAGTAACGGGCAAAAAATTAATAGAAAGTGTCAGAATATTTGACTTCGATTTCAAAAATTCTTCAGTTTTTCAGAAATGGCTATCGCCCTCTCATACTCTTCTTTTGTTTGATCTTTATCATTGTGAGTCCCTTACTGAATGCTCACAGACCTTGACTGCAAATCTCCAGTCTATGGGCCACAGGGTAAAACTAGTTTTATTATATTTTGTGAGCCGATAAAAATTCAGTTAACTAACACAGTTATATGTCAGATTTGTAGCGTCATAATGTAATCTGATAATTAAAGATGTATGTATATTTAAAATTTTTACACAAACCTGTGAAGTTTGATATCTGATGAAAGCAAGCTACCTAGATAATTCAGAACTAACCATACATACATATATACCTAGTAATGAGCATATCAAATCAAATATAATAATGTAATAGTAAAAAAAACACCTATAAAACTGTAAAACACAAAATGTGAAACCACAAGTTTGCACGTATCTGTACATGGACCCAAGAAACCTTCATGCCAAATTTGGTGAAGATCCATTAACAAGGGGCAAATTAGTTGTAAAAAACACAAAAATGACAAAAAAAAAGCAAACCTGAAAATTGTATGAATCTCCCCATAGACCCAACAAACCTTTATGCCAAATTTGGTGAAGACCCATCAACGGGATGGGTGTGGGGCGAAGTGATGGTAAACGACGTCCATAAAAACTGCAAAATGCAAAACTAAAAATTAATATGCATCTCCGCATAGGTCCAATGAACCAAATACCAAATTTGATAAATGTCCAACCACAGGAGGTGAGGTAGTGGTAAAAATGCAAAAATGCCCATAAAACACCAAAACTGAAAATTTGTATGCATCTCCTTATGGACCCAATGAACCCCAAATCAAATTTGGTGAAGTAGTAGTAGTAAAAAATTCACATAAAAACTGCAAAATCTTTATGTACCCTTGCATGGACATAATGAACCTCCATACCAATTTTGATGAAGATCCATCCCCACCCTGCAAAGTAGTTACATGGACATACAACAGACGCTACTATTATATTTATATAGATGATTAGAATAAACTGTTCCACAAGCTGCGTAAACTAGGGCTATCTATGCACAGTTATATATAATTTCATGCTAACAGAAGAGAGGGAAGACAATATGAATCACTGCACACTAATGGTTTACATACGTCTTCCAAATGGTGGCTTTGACTGTCACTCTAATAGCACATCCACAGTTTTAAAGTGTAGATTGTATTTTGGTGGCAAAAACCAACAGCAAAAGAAAGGCAGATGAAGGCAATACTCATTTGAGCCATCTCTATGTAAAAATCCTATTTGCAAATATTCTATGTTAAAGAGCATTTAAAAAAGCTAAACATATTTTTACATGTTTAGCTAACATTTAATATACACAGAAAAAACACACATATATACATACACACATTAGTTTTAAATATTTTTGTATCTTATGTGTTTCTAATTTGGTTTTAAAAATTACAGGCTGTGATGTGAAATTTTTTATGTTGTGCATTAATAGATGTGTCAAAGACATCAGCACCACACAACCCCTGAAGTGACTACAGTTACAAACTACTAAGGGTTCTAAAAAGGATGAACAATGTGAATATGATGACGACGATGATGATATAGATTACCTTGCAGACTGTCTTCTGATCATACCTCTAAATGTATGTAAAAAAAAATCAATGTGCATTATACTAGAAAGGCTTTGAATAAAGATGTACATACAGTGCTGGTGTTTGCTGTAGCCCACCAAAAAATTACTTTTGGTTTTAGGTTAAAGCTTCACAATGGTCTATATGTGCTGTATATACACTGTTGGTATCAAAACCCAAATTTTAACATTACATGTCCACAAGCTTGTCAATGAGCCACTGGGGATCTCATCAAGAATGTCATATCAAAAGGTTTGGGGAGTAAGGAGACAAAGATGGAAACTCTAGAATAGGCCCTCCAATTCAGCTGGGAACCTATGCTCTGGTGTAACTTGCATATATGTGTTAACCTAGCCTGAATAGAAATGTCTTACAGAAATTACCATTTGGGACCTCCAAGCTTGGGGTGGTTGTGGCTGCCTATTGCCACCCCCTGGGAGACATACACACAAATACTTGTGTACTGCTTTTGTTTTGAATTATTTTACAATAACAGAACTAAAATGTTCTAATAACAATGTTATTTCTTATTTAAAAAACAAAGAGAAAAAACATGTTTGAAGAATTAAATGTTTTGAAGCTCATTAACCAACAATGCTTTTCAAGAAACCATTTACTGGACGATGTCATTTGAGACAGAGATGTAGTCAAGACCAAGATCAATGTATTTTTTATGTAATCAACCTTATAATCTAAACAACAGTTCTAATTAAAAACAAGAGCTACAATAATAATAATAATGTTATTTCAATTATAAGCATTGGTCGCATAAAAAGTACATTGATCTCGATTTTGGTATCGACAGACTTGGTCTCGCCCATACAGTCTGGACTACATCTCTGATTTTAGGTATCAGTTACTGGGACAGTGAGAAGAATTCATTTTCCTAGAAAAGTTAATACTTTCTGACATTACATTCCTTATCACTTACCTAAATCAAAATTGACTCAGAATAATTTTATTCAAAAGTAACATTTTCCTCCAGAATTCATTACAGTGATCTGTTGGAAGAGTTTTGAAAAATGAAATGCTCACCAAAGAGGTTTTTGAATTGTGACTTTCTTGTATAACTGGACAGACTTAGTGACTTGATTTCTGCATGAAATGAATGGTTGTACGAAATAAGGATGACATAAGACGTAAGGTCTGCATTCTAATCATATTGTAATTATGTTATCAGCATGTAAACTTTAAATTTGTGGGGATAATGAAGGTAGAGGCATAATCATTACATGTTTATCCTGATGAAATAGTTAAGATCAGCCTTGGAGCATTGAGATCATTACAAAAATCTGATGCATAACTTTTAAAATATTGTACTGCCTTGGACCAAAGTTTTGAAGATCTGATGCAATGAAAGAAGGGCTTGCAATGAAGATAACTGAAGTTAGTATATAAAGGAAAGACATGACAGAACTAAGTCAATTTAAAATACAACAAATGTTTTTAAAAGAAATCAATAAAACATAACTTCAAGATGTCCTGGCTAAGGATTTTATTTTTGGATCATCATTATGTGAATGAGGTGTGAAATATGAAGACCAACTTGGTAAACAGTAACTTCCTTTCATTTCACCAAAACTGCTTGACAAAAATTAAAGAACTGTACAGAATGAAGAAGGATTCAAGAAACCAAAAAAAACTAATAATAAAAGTTACCTTCAACAGGCATGAACATCAATAGACTTTTCATCTGATCCTTGTTGACTATAAGGAGTAAGTTTATTTAAAAAAACAACATAATGACACAAGAAAGCCACATCTAGCTCTCATTACAACTATGTCTGAATGTAGAGATATCCTGACAAACAATACCACTTGGAAGAACAGTTGTTTTATTGTACAAGAAAGTATTTATTTCCAGATATAGAATTAATCAGTATATATACAAATATATTCTATCACAATAGATTGTAACATTCTTGATGTTTAAATTGCACATCATCAGTTAACTGAAATATCCAAAAAAATAAGCTACATTTTACACATTACTCTTAGATATATAGAAAAAAATATAAACTGTGGTAGTAACTACTTAACATCCTGAGCAAAATATTTAAGTTCAAATATAATTGCTGAACTAGTATATATATATATATTAATAAGAGCTAACAATTTGTGAAACACTAAACAATTGTCTAAGTATAC